CTAGAAAGCTATGAAAAATGATGTTGTTTGAATGCAATGATAATATAAATATTGTGAAGTGAATTGATGAGAAAAGCAGACCCAAACACCCCTTTTTATAGTGCCAAAATAGGCTCCAACGGACCAATGCATTAAAGGGGTGATTGGCTTGATTTATGGGATTGAATAAATTTGGGATCTGCAGGATATTGGCTTCACAGCGATGTATGGACCTTACCCATCGCTGGTAGGCCAATTTTCCTTCAGTTTTGAAGCCAACGGTCACCTACCCATCGATGGGTACATGCTTCCCATCGCTGGGTGAGAGGTTGACTTCCAAACAAGGAAAGAATCAACCTTAAATGACTTCCAACGGTCATGTCTTCCCATCGATGGTTTATCCTTACCATCGCTGGGTTCCCATCGATGGGGTAAAGTTCCCATCGCTGGGTAAGGTCGTTCTGCCTTGTGTTGATGTTGGACCAAGGCTTTAACAACGATGGGTAAAACCTCCCATCGCTGTTTGGCATGGTTCTGGAAGATGGTTTGGCTAAGGGGCCGCTTACCCATCGATGGGATGTTCTTCCCATCGCTGGGTGGGTGGTTAGCCAAAAACCTATGGTTTTTGCCTTAACCACGGCCTAGCCAACCGATGCAAAAACCGACCGAAAAATCCAAAGTTCTCCAAAATAAAAACCAAGTGTTTAAAACACTTATTTGATGTATTTGGCTAAGAAATCAAGTGATAAACTTTAAAAACCACGGTTAGCCAAGTTTATGCCGTTTTGTGTGGTTCTTGCCAAACGACCAAAAACGAAAGGTGGTTTTCAAAGTGTTTTTGTTGGAGAACTGTTTAAACATGCCAAGAAGTAAAAACCGGTCATAAAAAGTTGAAAATCACTTGGTTGGTTCGGACCCCAAAAACCAACGCCGATAACCGAAAGCCGAACGCCGGTTTCTGAAAGCCGAATGCCGGATGGCTTGGTTTTTGGTTTGGGCGATCACCAAGTGTTTTTTTTGACTTAAACATGTTTGAAAAACATTTTTATGATGTAAGAAATGCAATGAAAAGATTTTAGCCTAAAGAGCCAAGGTGTAAAGATTGGGTCGGTCTTGATCACAAATGAGACCGACTCAACGACTCTACGACTACGGTCTTCGTTCTTGGTCTTCGTATAGCTCTTGTTCTTATCTTCGTTCTTCGCCTTATATATTCAATGTCTTATCTTGATCACAGCGGTTTGGCATTATCAAAACCTGTTACAAAAACGAACACGGCTTTAGTACGAAAACGTGACAAGCCCGTGTTTCTACAATCGTTGCGGAAGCTAAATAAGATTCAACATATTTACATATATGGGTTCAAGTCCCAATATACTTTAAACTGTTCAAACAGTTCCCGCATCATTCTGCCAACTCTCCCGCCTTAGTATCTTCCGGATAGACATCATAGATTATTACCTACGCACATTCACACAACAAAGACAACTGTACGCTCAGCGAAACCGCTGAGTGGTACCACAACGTAGATTTTATAGAATTATTCATAATCACAATCAAGTAAATCAAGTAGTAATTATGTGAGGTCAACTATCCCTTTTTATAGTTCCATCATATCCATAATAAAAGTTAAATTACATCCTTAATCATTTTTCCATCTTTTAATCCTTTTAATTCTCACCATACGATGGAGTCAATCTCTGTAGAGAAAAGACTCGATAAGATTTCCCCTTTCTGAGTCTGGGTCCGAGCGCCCTTCTCTTCAGGTTCAGAATTTGTTCCGTGGCCTTTCCCAGTCTCGGTATAAATACTCTTCTGGTTCAAGACACACGAGTTGAGTGATCCCCGGGCACCTGACCGGTTCTATGACCTTATGTACGTACATTCTCAACCCCTAATATCGCTCACATCTATACGCTCAAATCCATACTATTTATCAATAGAAATAATCTAGATTTAAACTATCCAAAAATATATTTTTGGTTATTAGTGCCACCATCATAATAATCTCATTTACGGATTGGAGCATATAAGTTTAACATGAAGTCCATATAATTCAACAGTAGAGGTTATCTAGCTTTAACCATCTAGTAATATCATTTCAAAAGTTAGCCATCATTAAATCATGTTCCTAGATTAGATCATAGGAGTATCTCAAATCTAAATGCATATAATATAGTACTATAATTCTTCTAGTCCAACCCATCCAATAATACCATTTGGTTATTAACACCCTCAAAAATACGAATTGACATAATCAACTTTGGTATTAGAGTTCTTCTAGTCCAAAATATTCATTTTTATTATTTTAGAAGTTAAAATATGGTTATAAATCAATCAAACAGATACCAAAGATTTATCATCCATTCAATATCAAAAACAGTAGTTTAAATATGAGTTGGAATATCAGGTGATCGATCCCCACAATGAAAAAGACTATGTTTTACCAAAAATGACTCCAAGTGACTGATCACAAGCTTGAATTGGTGATCAATTATCATCCTTAAAAAAAGTTTCTGGTGCTCCTTTCTGACATCGGGTGATCGATTACAACCTAGGTGATCGATCCCTTGACGGTTCCTACGCGTTATTAGATCCGTTTTAGGCTATGGGATGGTTCCAAAAGTGTTTATATTAATTATATGTAATCTAATTTGAATCACCAAGTTGTTTAGGGATATTATAAGGACTTTTTGGCACATTTTTCGAGCATTCCCCGGTGTCGATGATTCATGGATATCAAGTTGAGTGTTTTATCGAGACTATCGGTATGACTAAGTATAGGAAATCATGTATCATAAACGATTCTAAGGAATATAACGTCGGAACGAGTCTGGGGTACAGACCTTAGAGTTCGTTGGGGAATACAATGATCTTAACACCTCACGTACGGTCAACGAACGGACATCGCTATCTACTTCTTACTTTCTTTGTCTTGAGGTCTTTTCTTTAAACCTTGATATCGCATAGGTATATGGCGTAAGAAGAGCGTTAAAATGAGTATAATAACATTATGAATGGAACATACTCACTTACCTAGAGTTTTCCTCCCAAAACTCCATTAATGGTGGATGAAGGAACTTGGAAAGAAGAAGGAACTTGCAGGGATTCTCCCAATTATCAAGAGTGAGTAAAGAGAGGTCTTGATTCTCTTTAATGGGAGAAAGTGTAGGAATTCGAAGGGGATGAACCAAGCTCAACCACCCAACATGTGTCTCATGTGAAACCAATAAATGGTGGTGGAGGTGCTAGCACTGTTGGCCAACAACCAAGCATTGAGGTGTAGTGATGGGAAGGTGGTGATGGTGGGGAAGAGGGTAGGGAATCCTGGAATTCTTTTTTGGAGAGTGTATGTGGGATTTGGAATTTAATCCCTATCCCCAAAAAAATAGTTTATCTGTTTGAATTTTGGATTATTTTTAAAACGTAGTCCGATTTTGAAATTGATCACGTTTTTGAACTTGGAAAAATAAATGGAATGCAACGATGTGTTCAAAATATTTTTCCTAATATTTTTATTTTTTTCAGGGCGTCGGGGCCCACTCAATCAAAATCGGCAATTTACGTATTTAATTCTTCTATACCAGTTTTTGTGGCGTTACATTATTCAAACAGTAGCCTATCTTATAAATCGTATGCCCTCCTCTCTGCTGGGGGGTCTCACTGTACAAAAAATTAAATGGGAAAGCTCATACGCTAACCCGTTTGCGTGTATTTGGGTGCACATGTTATTCACATAATCAAAAGCGGAATGGAGATAAAATTTAGAGAAATTTACTTAAATAGCATTAAAACATAATGACTTTCTCTAAGTAGCACCACATGTGTTTTTCTTCCCAATGTAGCACTTTTAGTCATTATGCATTAGTCATTATTCAAGTAAATGTTTGTCATCACTGGACATTATGGACATTATTAAGTGCTATTTAAGAAATAAAACAATTTAAGTGCTATTTAGAAAAATGACTTAAGTTTTAGTGCTATTTAGTGCAAATATTTTTAAAATTTATCCAGAAGGAAAGAAAGGAAGGAGAATTAATGACCCAGACATATTTATTATTGTGAAGATATGTTTCCTTTTTTTACTATTTCCGGGAAGAATGACACGAAGTCTTGGGAGTCCATATATATCTTCATTTCTTGTAGTCGGCGAAGTGGAACCTGAAAATCGCCCGGCCGTGTCCACTGACACGGTTCCATTACTGGAGCAGACCATGAGCACGGCAAAACCATGCGGGGGCAGAGCTGACCATGAGCACGGCAAAATTAATGGTTCTGAAACTAATTAAACCATTACTTGGACGAGGACAAATATGATTGATACATAAATATTTCCCCAAAATATTATCTCAACCGTTCTTTCCCGAAACTCTATATTCACTTTGCTCATTTTCATTAGTCGATCATTTGTTAAAATTATATAATCATGTCGTCTCTTTTTTTTGCAGACTTTTTTATTTAATTTTTTAATATTTTAAATCTTATTTAGAAATATTACACTTTTTAAGTCAAATAGATAGAATAGAAATTAAAATAACATGAAATAGGAATCTTAATGATATTCAAATATCACTACCGCCCATATCTTATAAGGAGCAATTACCGATCAGTGTAGAATCTCAACGTGAGATTCCTAACAATGTAAACCGTGTTCAACAAACACGAAATACTTTTTCCCAATTAAAGTTGTGTTCGGCAAACACAACTTTGAATCCCTTAATTAAAACTGTGTTCAGCGAACACAAGTTGTTCTTCAAACATTAATTTTATAGAGTATAACACAATCAAATGTATGGTGCAATGGTTGAAAATACAATTTGTATAACAAAAAAAATTAAACATAACATTGCATACTTAAAACAAAACATACACTAAATATTTAAAAACAACATAAAGTAATATTTAAAAATAACATACACTAAATATTAAGAAGACAACAAAAAACGACAACAAAAAAAATTAAACATAACACTGCATATTTAAAACAAAACATACATTGATTATTTAAAAACAACATAAATTCCCCCTAGAAGCGTTTTTTATCCTTCCGTTGTCCATTTCATCTCATTTCCCCTGGAAGCGTTTTTGCCTGCGGCGACCGGAACACGATATTTCTCCTTCAGGCCTTATCGGTGGCAATACCGGATACTCTGCATAATTAAAATCATTTGGAAATATCACTGGTCTAATTTGGCCGGAGTAACAGATCTGATATCGTTGCACACTGTACATGTGAGAGACACAATCATCCGCACGTTGTTTGAAAGAATGGAACAAACAGTGTACATGCACGCATGGAACACCGTCTCCTTGCCATTGTCCACAAGTACATGACTTATTCCCCAAGTCGATCACAAAGTTGTACATATGCCCTGGGTTAGAGATGGAAGCCCTAGAGACAACGTATTGATGTCCGCCATAATGCATAGCCTGAAAGTTTTGTATATTTTTTTCCCAAGCTTCAGAGATCTTCAAAATCTTTGGAGTAAACCGAAGATTTTTTTGTTTCCAATACAAACAAGACCTACGACGTGACTCAAAAGAATCAACGAGTTTTTGGTACGACATCATGATAATAGCACTCACCGGTAACATTCGACAACCTTTTAGCATATTGTTGAAGCTCTCAGAACTGTTCGTGGTAAGTATCCCACATCGACTCCCACCGTCGTACGCTAACGTCCACAACTGTAGCGGAATCTCAACAAGATATTGATATGCCTGTTCACTTTGACATCGAATTTCCTGCATACAGTCTTGGAATTCCTGGACACTCGGAGTACTCCCTGCCAACCACATGAGGTCCTTGAGTTTCTTGTTGTGAAACTTTGAATTAAAGTTACTACGTATGTGACATAGACAGAAACGCTTTACTATGTTTCCTGTTTAAAGCTCTTCCACATCGCGATAGGCGTTGATCATACCGGCATGCCTATCGGAAATGACACAAACTCTTTCCCCAGCTATAATTTTTTGAGCTACCAATCGTAGAAACCATGACCAACTATGAGTACTTTCCCCATCAACTACGGCATATGCAAGTGGGAATATCTCGCGGTTTCCATTCAAAGCAACTGCGAGTAAAAGATGGCCCTTATACTTATCCTCTGCATGGCTTGAGCTCTCTGCATGTTTTGGCACGATCGATATTCACTAGGGCTTTCGCCGCAACCTGTTGGATCTCATGTGCTGGCGCGTCTAACACTGAATCCCTCACACGCCGCAATGCGTTCACCTAAAGTTAAAATAAATAGAGATTAGTATGTACAAAAATTTTTTAAGAGATAAAAATGTTATATGACTTACCGCTATTGCTAATGATCCCGCAGAACCATCCACACCAATCTCTAGGTGGTGTGCTGGGTTGCGTATGAACCGGCGGCCATAAAAGTAAAACCAATTAATGTAGTTCTCAACACAACCATCTCCAACATAGTTTGGCGGAAGTGGCTCCATTTCATCTTCCACTAAATGGTTAAATCGGTTGTTACGCCACTCATTGTACGTCAGGATAAAAGCCTCTCGCACGGTATTGCGGCCATCTGCCCTATGCAGCTCATGAGAATAATGGAATGAAAGGTTAGGAATCTGTTGCCACATTCCAAATTGCCGGGCAAATCTCTTCGGCATGTGTGGCTCTATTACTAAGTCAAATATGATGAAGCCTTCGTAAAACCACAATTGGCGACCGGCCTGACAATAATCTGGTAATGCCCCTAAATTGTACGGAGTCCAAACAACCTGTACAATACACATAAAATATTAGTTCTTTTAAAATTAAAATTTAAATATTGACTATTTGTAATACATACGTGTCGAAGAAGTGAACCGTCAAATTGGTCTCGATAGTTACGAATAGAAAATCGAGAAGTGCCATTAAACAACCTCAGAATACGCCACCTGCATAACAAAGTAAACATATTCTAGTGTTGAGCATAATTAATAAATTCACATTAAATTAAAACAAGCGTACCGAGCACCATGTGGCTCATCCTCTCGAAGTGGGCCATGTCGATCATTGTTAAGCACGCGCACTTCGGGCCTCACTAGAATGATACGTGATGTAACACCCCAATCCGTATAACCCGGAATTACACGAATTAAGGTGAAACGAGGGTTAAATAAAAATTTCGCTTGACATTTGAAAATGATAATTTCTTATAAATATTAAATTTACAGACTCTGGATCGCGACCCATTTAAAAATATTTTCAGAGTAATGCGGAAGTACAATATTAATCAAATCATGACACATTTTAAAATCTGTTGACCAAACATTGTCTGCCACCCTTGCATCTCCTCTGACTCAATTCCCTCCATGAAAAAGGTTCCATCATTGTCTTCTTGTTACCTACGTGTAGTCAACGAAAAATACAAATTATACGCTCAGCGAAACCGCTGAGTGGTACCACGCTAGAATTGTAGGATGATTCACAGACATATACATATACATATATATATATATATATATATATATATATATATATATATATGTCCATAAAATGTATAATAGTATTTATGATATGGCACATTATATCATATGGACAATTTGATGAATCATGATGATAAATATTTAATGATAATTACATGATGGCACATTTAATCAATTTGCTTGTGAGGATGATTACATGATACCTATGTAATCAATATACTTGTTCTTGATGATGACTTCATGCTGTATGATTCTAGTCAACAAGGAATGACCTTGCAACTATGAGATTCGCCCATTTGGTACGACGAACTCATGTCCTTCTTAGTCTCACGAGGGAGACTAGAAAAATAGGGGTGGTACTCGAAAGTCTGAGTACCATGTACGTACACTAAGCCCGGTCAGGGTTGTCGGACTACTAAGTCCCGCACAACCACGCTATAAGAGACGCAATTACGCATGATCTCTTACGCATGCACATGATGTGATATGCTTCAATATAAATGATGAAATGAATGACATGTTGTGAACAATTTGCAAACAATATGAATATATAATCATGCATTAGTTTATAATCATGCATTAGTTTATGTGAATATATAATCATGCATTAGTTTATTTGGATGAAACATGATTAAAATATTATTTAATCAAGCTACTCAGCTCGGAACGGTCGACCGTTTGGCACGGCGGTCGACCTTGATCTTCACTTCGTTGGAACGGCGGATCACCGTGACGGTCGACCGTGGTTGACCGGCGGTCGACTGTTGTTGACTGCTTCAGTGTGGCTGCGTTTGGCTGAGCTTCAGCGGTTGACCGTTTGGCTACGGCGGTCGACCGTTCTATCGACAGTAGTAGTCCGTTTTGATGTTTAATACGACGGTCGACCGTTTGCTTCGACCGTTTGGGTCTGCGAAACTTTCTCTTAATATTTTGAGTGTCCAAAATACTTTTTTAAGTCTTTTAAACACCTTTGATTAGCATATACATATTGTTGGGTTGATTTCCAAAGTTTATATTTACTTATGTGTATATTAACTTTATGGATTTGGTGTATTTTGATCTCAACATATAGATGACTTATATATGCATCACATATATATTTTGGGATGATTTCAACATATGCATTAATATATATGTTCATGTATGTATGTGATGAATGATTCGACAATTCTAACGCAAGGGTATAGACCTGGAAATCATCGGCCGAAACCTTACGGATGAGCGGGAGTGGAAACAACATCGAAATTCACCAACTTTGTCATTCCCGTCACAATTGGACAGCCTGTGGTATTTTGAGCATATCTCCATCGTTTCTTCACGGAATCGCAAACCGTTTGATTCTGTGGATTTCTAAGACGTAAGGCTACAACTTTCGTGAAGAAACCATGTTAAAATAATGAGTTTAAAGTGGTCAAATATAGCTCACAAGTGGACTCATAGTTGCTNCCAGGATTTTGGATGTTCCAACGAACAACGATTCCGACGATTATCTCATTAACTTCAATATTCTAACGCCGAACCTTCTCTACGATACCTTCCGGATGTTCCTAATAAGTGTTAGAGAGTTTATGGTAAGTTCTTGGAATGAAACAATATGAATTTGGTGAAGAAAATGGTCCAACCCGAGGAGCTCGCCACCACTGGCGCAGTCCCGGTATTTTGGCCATATCTTCTTCGTTACTCAACGAAATCGCGAGCCGTTTGTTGGGCTGGATTCGTATCGTCCGGGGCTACAACTTTGGCTCAAGAAGTATTTCGAGATAATGGATGGAAAATTTCAGTTTTTACCTAAAATTGGGCTGCTGTGTTTGAACTCAGGATTTTAGAAACTTTAGCTACCTTCTTCTTGCTCCTTCTTCTTCCTTAACATGAATCATGGAGTTGGAATCTCCTTTTTCCTTCCTTGGTGCCTGACCAACAGAGAGAGAGAGGTGAAGAGGAGAGATGATTGATGATGATGGTGGTGGTGGAAGATGATGATGATGGTGAGAATTTTGGAATCATATATAGAAAAGTGGACTTATCATGAAGTGGAAGGTTGAGTGGGTTTTATTGGTGACTAATTGGAGATTTGAGGAGATTGGTGCGTGATTGAGAGAAATATGGAGATTTTTAAATATTCTCCTACTCCGTAACTGATAAACTGGCTAAAACGGTACGCGCTTTTTCGCCCAAACTGCTCCGAATTGGAAACAGATTGTGTTTTTGGAATGAGACTGTCAAAACTAGAATTTTGATGTAATCAGAATATTTTTCTGAAAACTTTTATTTTTATTTAATCTCTGGGTCTCTCTCAGTCATAAATAAATTTTATAGTATGAATGAGATATAAATATATGAATTAAATCCAAATGATAAATATGGTGTTGTCAAGTGTCAAAAATTAAGATTTCTAATCTTATGAAATCTCCTTTGAATTGAGTTTATTTTATGGGTCAAAGTTACAAATTTTAATATTTAAAATCGTCATATCTTCAAATCTATAAATCAGATTGGTTCATAAAATGTACCATTGGATTCGTCTCTTTGAGACATATCCATAAAAATAAGTTTTTAAAAAAAATTCCTTATTTTGAAAATCCATTTATTTTTGGTCAAACATATAAATATTCCTTATTGGACAATAATATTCAAAACTACTTTTGTTTTATAAAATTTAGGCCATATTTCGTGGCGTTACAGACCAAGCCCAAAGCTATAACAACAAAGCACAACCACAAAATCTAGGCCTCTCGGTTTTTTTAAGTGCAACTTTACACAAGTTGCGATACAAGTTTGCCAAAACTGCCGAACCCCAACTAAATTGTGCGGTAATTTCAGGAGTGCGCAATAAGGGTAGAAACTCAACAGGAACAAACCGACCTGTAGAATTGGGGAACAAAGTACCACCTAAGAGTTGTAATATCACACTAGCTGTGTATCTCTCCGCCTCCCTGTCAGTGTTACCGGGTAGAACCTGTCGCTCATTTTCATTGTCAATATTATTCTCCAATGCAGCTAAATTAAATCTGGCTTGTCCAACATGTTCGCGCATCACCTCGAATCCAATAACTTCACGAAAAAGATCAACATATGTATTCGGATTAACCATTTCAAGAAAAACTATGGGTTCCCCGTCTACTCTTAAACCTATTAAACATTCAACATCCTGTAAAGTGATACCAAGTTCACCAAACGGGAAGTGAAATGCATGCACTTCGGGCCTCCACCTTTCAACGAGGGCCGTAATCAAACTATGGTCTATTTTTATGGGGTGGACCCGATGTACCCCATAAAACTCAGACCTTTTCAAATTTTGCTCAACCCGGTCATCCCTAAATTTTTCTAAAATACGAGAATCGTTCCGACATACTGATACTTTTTTATCTGCGAAAGCCTGATCAGACCAAACACGACTAGATCGATGAGTGGCTTGAAGTGTGAGCATATCATCATTCACCGGACCGGCAAGTTGACGCTCTATGTCCTCCATATCTGCATAAAACAATCGTCAAAGAAAAAAATTACTAATAGAACAATATATATATATATATATATATATATATATATATATATATATATATATATATATATATATATAAATCATTTGACTCAAGTATTACATAATAAAAATAATACCTTTGGTTGTTAGCACAGGAAAATTGGAAATTTCAAGAATAGGAATGACAAAATATTCAATTTTTTTTGTTATGAAATCCGGTTCACTGAACACGGATTATATAATAGGAGAAGTCGTGTTCAGCGAACACAAGTTTGACCAACTTTAATGGGGTGTCGTAGGGAAGCTGTCATCTTTAATGTTGGGGGGTGGCTTGGGGAATCTAACAGCTTTATGGAAGGAGCAGCACGCGTGAAAATCTTTTTTGCTTTTGAAGCAACTTGTGTTCGGCGAACACGATTTTAATAATATTTCAAACTTGTGTTCTGCGAACACGAGTTCAATTAATATTTCAGAACTTGTGTTCCGCGAACACGATGTCAATTAATATTTCATAAGTCGCGTTCGCCAAACCCGTGTTCCACTGATCGGAAATAATTTTCAAATTTAGGAATTTGTAAAGTGTTTTTTTCACTGAATGGGAAACCACCCATCTTATAATTGGATAACAAGGGTAGCTAGGTGCATATGGTTTGGTTATTTATTCGGGGGATATGATATGATATGACATGATGTGATATGATGCAGTCAAAGACAGTGGCAATGGTGGGCGGTCTGAACATTGGGCTTCTGGTGGGCGTGGTGTTGGTAACAAAGTTGGCATTTCATGGAGCCGCTTTGATCAATGCCATTGGGTTTCTATGTGTTGGATTGAATATCGTAATGTATGCCTCCCCCTTGGCTGCAATGGTACGTAACAATAATTCATCAAGCTATGTTTATTCCTAACTTGTACATTCCTTAGAGGACTCCCAAACATATGTTCTATCCTACAAGGGTGAATATAGGAATAATATATGCTCCCATGTCCCATAAAAAAAATACTCCCTCCGTCCCGGAAAACACGGGAGTTTTGATTTTGAAGAGGGATTTAATGGGAGTGTATTTTGGTATTGAATTTCCAAAAATGTCCTTTGATGTGATGGGTAAAAGTATGATTTGATGGATAGATTATTAGTAAAAAGGTAGGATGTGATAGGTAATGTATGAAAAAGTAAGGGATAAAAATAACTTTTTGATAAAAATGAGAATGTTTTTTGAGACAGATGAAAAAAGAAAATGTGAAAGCTTTTTATTGTTGAGAAAGAGTACGTACGCGAATTGTTTTTAAATATACTTATCTTTGACTTAGTTCTCTAAAACATTTTTCTGAAATCCATGGTTAGAAAATGCTCTGATCTGAATCTATTTTCTGGGCATACTAGAATTAGGATTAGGTTTAAGTTTATCTTTTCTAATCCCTCTCTACATAGTTTGTATGAGGATTAGGATTATCCATATCGGTGAGCATTCATTTGTGTAATTGTTTCTTCTCCATTTGTAGCTTTCATACACGCACTAGATTATAGATTTATAAGGGGTCGAATTCTTTTGTGTAGTAATCTCATTTTAATTATACACTTCACGTATCGCGGGTTAAGGTCCCGTTTGGTACATGGAATTCAAAGTATATAATTAGAATTGAGGACTTCAATTCCAATTCTGATGTTTGGTAGTACAAAAATTATGTGGATTTGGAATTAATAGTGCAATAAAATGAATTTGAATGGGCAGAATTCAATTCTATGGAATTTAGTCTTCATGGAATTTCAATTCAATTCCAATTCCGTATACCAAACGGACCCTAATTGTTTTTACCTGCAGAGGACTGTAATAAGGACAAACAGTGTGGAATTCATGCCCTATTACCTCTCGCTTTTCATCTTCATCAACGGTGGTATTTGGGCGCTCTATGCATTTCTTGACCGCGATTGGTTTCTTGGGGTAAGATTTTTTTCCTTTTAAGAGGGCATTTTTTAATTTATTATTTAACTTTTTTGAGATACTATAATTAAATCCTGTTCTTTAAAGTTAGAATTTTTGAATTAGATGTTAGAATAAACTTAAAAGAGTTGGGAAAATTTTGTAGTTGAAAAAAACAAGGAGTTAGAAAAAACTTGAGGTTATATGTTACTCTTTCCATTTTCAATTAAAAAACCATTTTTACTCCTATTAATTCTTACCCTTGCTATCATATCATACTTCCTCTGTCCCGCAAAAAACTTTTCATTTTGACTTTTAAAGGATTTAAGGGGAGTGTATTTTGGCATTAACTTTCCAAAAATGCCATATGATGTGATAGATAAAGTAAGATGTGATGAGTAGATTAAAAGAGAAAAATGTGATGTGATAGGTAGGTTAAGAATTATTAGGGGTAAAAGTAACTTTTTAATAGAGAAAGGGAAGAGTTTTTTGGGACGGATGAAAATGGAAAGGAGAAGGATTTTCTGGGACGGAGGGAATACTTTTTACTAATAATTTATCCATCACATCCTATTTTTACTCATCACACCAGGGATACTTTTGGATAGTCAACACAAAAATATCTCTTACTTAAATTCTAAAAAAGTCAATAAAGAAAGGACTTTAAGGGACGGAGGAAGTATAAATTTGGATGTATTAATATTACTTTATAATCTCTTCGTCCCTTAAAACATTTCAACTTAATTTCACTTCTTATCCGTCCCATAAAATAATTCAAATTTGTCTAAATGGACACAATTGCCCTTACTTTTCTTAAATCTAACCGAACGTGCCTCAACGACCTTCTACGCTATACCCGTTTTGGTATTTCTCGAGCCCAACTTGTTTCAATTGTCGTCGTTTCGTCTTGGTCAAACTTCTATATCTTTCCTTCCCAAAAGTCAAAACCGGAAAAGTTTTCCGGGACAGAGAGAGTACTAATCACATATAAATACATTTTTTAAGTCGTTATTGGAAGAAATCAGAAGGAGTTGAAAGAAAATTGGAAGTTAATTTTTTCAACTCAAAAGAGGGAAAGGGGTTTTTTTATAATGGAGAAGCTAAAGTGCCATTTTGTTTGCATGCAGGTACCAAATGGGTTGGGTTTCATATTCGGAGCAGCACAATTAATACTTTATGCGATCTACAGTCGTACGTCAGCCAAAGTTGACGCCCGACCTTCTTCTTCTTCTTCCTCTTCTTGCATGGACGACGGCGACTGCGCACAAAGTGAGCCTCTCATTATTGCACCGTCGCCGCAAGACTCTTTTCCTGCGCCTATTATTGTTCCATACGTATAGACTTATTAGCTTGTAAGTGCATGCATGGAGTGACATTTATTCCATAATGATGAAAAATTGCACGTGAGTGTTGTTTATAGATTATTTGTTTTTTTATTTTTAAATAAAAATGAATGAGTGTTGTTAATAGTTTTGTTTTTTTGCTCTAAAATAATCTAGCAAGCAATGAAGTGATAAAAGTAGTTGTCTGGTTGGGATCTTTTTTTTCTTTCTTTGTTTTTTGGTGTAGCTTTCTAGGGTTATTACTACTCACTTCGTCACTGAAAACATTCTTCTTTCATTTTTCATCTGTCTCAAAAATATTTTCTCATTTTTATAAAAAAGTCACTTTTACCCTTGCTAATTTTTAACCTACCTATCACATCACATCTATTCACTACTAATCTACCCATCAAATCTTATGTTTACTCATCACATCCAAGGATATTTATGAAAGCTCAAAACCAAAATACACTCTCCTTAAATCTCTTAAAAATTAAAATCACCCATGTTTTCAAGGACAGATGGAGCATTATCCATGTATTCATCTTTTTTAAAAGACTTGATGATATTTCAAAACTACATGTCAAAATGAATCTAATTTTGTAATTCATAATGTCGTCTTTCTATGTCTCTATGAGATGGCAAAGGGATATATATATATATATATCCAAAAGGAACTTAAGGGGATTTCTCCACTTTACATGATAATGAAATTGGACATCAGAAAGGTTTATGATTTACTCAGCTAGCTGGAAAGCAACTAAATTCCCAGAATTGTTCATCAGAAAGGTTTATGATTTACTACTCCCGGCCTTCATTGTAACGAATGAGATACATTGCAAAATTGTTGTGCTCATGTTTCTTGATTGATTATTACAAATGGCTAGCTAATAATACAAGGATATGAATGAGTGAGCTTAATGCTTGCTAGCTTTACCACACATTTACAACACAACATTCCAAATAAATTATTGTGCTCCCATTACTTAGCATCGTATATTTGTACTCACTAGTTTAAGAAGGCTGAATATTTCCAAGCAACCACAACCAAAGCAGAGTTGTTAGTTCAATCTCGTATTTATATATAAATATAAATTCTAACCCTGCGATTTCATGGCTATTTTTGGTACAGATCCGAGTGTCCTTCGTCTACAAGCAGCCACTTCAGATCAGCAATCACACAAGCACCTAGCAGCTTGCAAAGCAAAATATGTCAATATGATATCGGCACCAGCTCGCCGAAGGCACATTAGCGACTCCAGCATCACCATTTCTTCATCTATCATTTTCAGAGCCCCTCCCGCCTTAATCATCGAGTACTCCCCAGAAACCTGTGAAGAAGAAGGAAAGGAGTATACGATAAACCCAAGAGAAACCCCAAACGCAGTAGCGATTTATAACGTGAACTAGAAATACAATTTTACAGAGGTGCACAGAAATATATTCATAAAGCAACTTCAAAATCCATCGTAGGGCATTTAAAAAAAACCAAAGCAGAGAATTCGAGTTTTTTAAGTTTCCACGATCTGAGGTTTCTTATAAAAGTTATCTACTAACCTCCCGTCCACAACCTAATTCCTAAATATTAGAGTGGAACTAGACAACTGGTCAAAGGAATTGGCCCCCTTGTATTGTAGGTCTGAAGGTGGCCACACATGTTTTTATTTGTTTTTAATTTTAGACGGAACAACTGGAATTTTATGTGTATTTGAACTCGTGATCTGAGCTAGAACATCAGATAAAGTATTTTACAATTTCCAGAGGTTCGTCTATCTCTTTAAACAAATAAGTACGTTTTTACTTAATGAGCATAGGGCAATGAAGGGAGGATAGTGAATCTTTAAGCTACCTGATATGCAGCTATGGGTAAAGGAGATCTATCCCGAAGAAGCCTGATAATATCCAAGTAAGGCAGACCTGGTTTCACCTGTTTATAAGTGAAGACTAATTAATATATATAAAGAGACCACCTACTTTTATCGTGATTTTTATTGAATATATATATAAATTTGTAGCGGAGAATAAATGACTAATTGCATTAGCAAGACTACCAAGAGAATGTCAGCTCCTTCAGACTCGTCTTCCCGCATCTCAACCAACGCTTCACGAAAATTTGCTGGATTCATCTGATAACTTATGAAACGAACCCAATTGTTTTCTTCAAGTCAGCACAGCTACCAAATATTCGAAGTTATGTACTATTTTTAAAGCAGATCAACATGAGTTAGTGAAGTACGTTTTCTTGTCTCCAAAACGTGGATTGGAATCCAGTGCTTCTCGGAACGGACCATAAAAGGAGCTTGCATACCTGCAGTACAGCCCAAGTAAACCAAATTGGTAAAATAATAAAAATGCATAATTACTACTACCTCGGTTACACAATCTGCTTTTTATTTTTAAGGAAAAAACATGTGGCCTACAAAATTTTGTTCTTCTACACAATTCATCAGCCCATTTTCTACTTTTAAACACTTAATGTGCTTATGCTGTTTTACTATGCCATCTTATGCCCAATTATTTTGAGGTATACTGGAGTTATAAAAAATCTACTATACACACCGTTCTGGAAACACTTAATTCTTGTATCATCCAGCTGTCCAAGTTAATTTGAGATTTGGCAATTTGAGTTGTGCTAAAACTTTTACTAAATTCATTGATTCTATAGATGACATTCCAACTCCCAGTGTTAAGACATCATTTCTCCAAGGTGATTTTGCATCAAAAGAAAACTCAGAAGCAAACATCTCATTAATCCTTTAAAGGTATCTTCATATCTTGCATGCTTTTCCCCCATTTTCTAAGCTGACCTACCACATATATTGGTTCCTAGGCAGTGTTCCATTTACTCTGCACAAGTTGTGTTTCTCATAATTATCACAATCGCTTTGCAATGATAAAATAGTTGCATTGAGCAATCACTTTGCAGTGTAGGACATTATAGACACATCATTATATCCTTCAGCATCAAGAGCAGCTCGAATAGCTCCAACCCGACCATCCATCATGTCACTAGGACTGATAACATCTGCTCCTGCTCTAGCCTGGCGTAGAGGGACAAGAAAAACAAAATGTTACACATAAGTCTACCCAGAATGCATGCTAAGATGAATACAGATGCAGTAAAATTGTTAGATTCCTGAAGGATCTATAACATGCAACAAAGAGGAATATTTTGATAATGAAATAACATTGTATGTTTATACACAGCGAACCATATACAAATGTGAAATCTCATATTACATGGCTAACTGCCTGCTTGCACAACTGATGCACAGTTTCATCATTCATTATAACTCCTGCAGACATTGAAGTTGTCATAATAATCATTCATCAGCACCAAGAAAAATACAACAATATTCAGAAAGGAAAAAAAACTGATTAGCTACTGGTATGCATTACAAATATTGGTAACATGGAGACTTGAGGTTCATCATGGTGCCACTAATTAGATAAGTAGAATATACAACCATGTTTACAAAAATCATATCACTCCAGGGTTATCCCAAAGGATGTGCCATTTTTTCTCTCTTCTTATGCCTTCCATGAGCATTCGAATGGTTAAGACCAAGCTAAAAAATACAGAGTATTCTTCAGAACTAGTACATACTAACTAAAAATTATTGGAAACGTTACGGACCGATTGCTGGGTCAAGTTTACCAGCAGGAAGGCCATGGAATGTGCGGCCCAAGCTCCATGAAATGCCGCCTAAGCTTCCATCAGCTTATTATTAATAATGTTAATTCATTACGTCTTTTATTATTTCAAGTTGTAATATTTAGAACTCTCTTTCCATTTCTGTTTGAGAGTCTTGTTCATAGCCTATACAAGTCTATTTTTTAAGGCATACTAATTATCTTTCGAACAATTATATTTGCGTATGTATGGCAAAGCCTGCATTCTCTAATTTATGGCAAGAAGGTTAGGTTATTCTCAACTACACCAACTTCTTCCTACTCTTCTCTTCCTACATCTCCCCAAACATCGTGTATAAGGTATTGCACTCTTGCATTTAATAATTTGGCATCAGCATCCATGACTATGGGAGATGAGAGCGCCATACCAGATCCCTGAAGAGTTTCCTTGACTTGATGCCAATTGATGGCATCATGCAACGACAACACAGCCTAGAGGAGGTGACCGATGTTACCTCTTCACTCATAGGAAGATTACGAAGTTGGATAGCTCAGTACTGGGCCTTGCCAAGTCTGCTCACTGCCTGACCATTGACCGCACTGCTCTGAGTCCCACAATCCGGCCGTAAGGCTGAATCATGACGACACAAGCCTGGTTCATCATTACTCAAAAGTCAAAACAGGACTTTCAACTTGTTGACAAGACTTGATCAGTTGAGTTGGTTGAAGCTGTGTGAACGGTTCTTTGTAGAACCAAAATACACGCCATTGGCACAGGTCGTGTTGGCCACAGCCCACATTTCACAGGGTAGGCAAAGCTCAACTATGGGCCGACCAACTGGAAAGTCTGATATCACATGGGCCACTTTCTCGGAGAACTGCAGTGTCTATTTTAGGCTGCCTTCAAGTTCTAATCCCAAAGGAAAATTGTTCCATTTGAGAAAAAGAAGCATGGTTAACAAATACATCAATTTTTTAAATACTCACTAGCATGGAAGAAAGGCTTGCCAACCAGGTTTCAGACTTTCAGGTTATACCCCTCCCCTTGCATGCCATTACCAGCTCTGGCCCATGACAAAAAAGCACCATCAAATCCATCAATGACTGTCTATTCGGACAATTTGCTCACAAACCTTGACAATTTATTCCATGAACCTATTTGGTTGCTTTCACCCCATCTAAGTGACCACTACCACCTTGCTTTATGGACAATAGTACAGTCGTGGTGTGCTCCTACAAATACTCCTACATCAAAAGGACAAAAATGAATGCCACATGCAGCAATGTTGAAACATGTTATCATTCAACTAACCCGCTTGCATTCTCACCCTAAGTACCTGTGCTAAAAAAACAGGAAGCCTCCAGGTGTTTTTGCATAGACTGCACATATCTCACGTTAATACTCAGACATGCTTTTGGATGAACTTCGAGGAATCAAATTCTTCACCAAATTGGATTTGCATTCCAGTTACCAGTAGATTTTCATTGCACTGAGGATGTGGAGAATATACCATATTGCATGCACTGTGGCCACTTTGAGTTTCTGGTCATGGCCTTTCCTTTGTTAACCTTTCGAATTCGAATGTATGCAACTTTTAGGCCGTACTAGTAGAATTTGGTGCTACTATTCTTTGGTGTATAGAACGACGTGTGTTGAACGACATGTCTATCAAGAACGCGTGGTTTCTGAGGTGTTAAGTACACACTGTCTAATTTTAGGTATTTGGGGCGCACTTTTGCCGGCAGCCACATGAATTGTTTTAGTCAAATTCTTAATAGTGCTGGGATGAAGGTCGACAGAACCAAGGTTCAAGCAATCCGTGAATGGTCCATCCTCAAATCCCTCACCACCCTTAATGGGTCCCTTGGACTCGCTGGATAATATCAAAAGTTTGTTCAAAGCTATGGTGAGATTGTACACCACAAATTCCTTCATTGGACCTACAAGGTTGAGGCTGTGTTCTTTAGTGCCTGCCAAGCTGTCCACCAAGCTCTGGATAAATTTCATGTATGGTACTGAACTTTGAAGAAAAACTCGAAGTTGAGGAGGCTATTTTCACTTTGGTAACTAAACTTCATTTTCTATCACAAATATACCTGAACTTTGAAAAACTTTTTATGTATGGTACTTGGAGCCGGTTTCCAAGTTGGAGCCAAATAACAATTTTATCTATGTTAAACTCTTTAATTTGACCCCCACTTCTTTTTCTTCTTCTCCCCCCCTACCCACTCCCCTCTTCTTTTTCTTTTGCCCATTTTTTTCTTCTTTCAGCCCCTTTTTTCTTCTTCATTATCAAAGCCTCTCCTCACCCCCACCCCTCCCTTCTTGTTTTTCAACCCCACCTCACTTCTTCTTGAGCCCCTCTCCTTTTTTGTTAAATTTTTTACTTTTTTTTGTCAAAAATTTTTATTTGTTAACTTTAACTATGTTTCAAATTCTTTTTTCTTTTTAGTGATTCTGTTCCATTAGTTTTATGATTTTTTTTGTTTATTTTCAATCTTTTTTCTCAATATTTTAGTCTTATTGCTTGTTTGTTTTTTGTTTTCAAATTTTTTTAACCTTTTTTTATTTATTTTCAAACTTCTCTCCCAATTTTGTAGTCTTATTTCCATGTTTGCTTTTTTTGTTTTTGATCTTTTTTGTATGTCAACTTTTTTTGTTTCTTTTTAAAAAAATCTGATATTTGTCTTAGTTTTTTGTTGTTTTTTTTATCTTTTTTGTTTATTTTTTATTTATTTTTCTCGATATATTAATCTTATTTTCTTGTTTGTTTATAATCTTTTTGCTTGGCAACTTTTTTATTTGTTTTTTAATTTACTATTTGTTTTTTTTTTTGAAATTTCCTCTTGTCTTATTTTTTATGCTTCACTTATTCTAAGTGAAACATCTTTTTATGTTTCACTTATTCCTAGTTTGGTTTATTTTATTTTATTAATTAATTAGTTTTATTTTATTTATCATTTTAACAAAAACAAATATTTGAAAAAAAAATTAGATTAAATATCGAGAAAAAATAAATAAAAGCAAGTAAAAAATATCAAAAACAAACAAAAAAAACTAAGACAAATATTTGAAAAAAGTGAAAACAAACAAAAAAAGTTAACAAACAAAAATGATAAAAAATAAAAAATAAATGAGCAAATAAGACTACAATAACAAGAAAAAAATTTGAAAATAAACAAAAAAGTTTACAAACAAAAAAGATTGAAAACAAAAAATAAACAAACAATAAGACTAAAACATCAGGGAAAAAGATAGAAAACAAACAAAAAATCATAAATCTAAAGGAACGGAAACACACTAGACAACAAAAAAAATCCAGATCCCACAAGAGTAGGGTCTCGAGAGGGTGTGTGTACGCAGACCTTGCCCCTACTCAAGAGTAGAGAGGCTGTTTCCAAGAGAACCCTGGCTCAAACCGGGGACATATTTAGCACAGATAGCAAAAAAGCACACTAAGGCTAAGAACNGAGGGAGGGGTGGGTGAGGGCCTAAAGAGATGCTTTCATGAAGAAGAAGAAAAAAGGTGAAAGAAGAAGAAAAAGGGGTGAAAGAAGAAAAAGAAGATGGAAGTGGGTGGGGGAGAAGAAGAAAGAGAAATGGGAGGTCAAGTTGAAGAGTTTAAAATATATAAAATTATAATTTGTCCCAAATAACCTAATGATCACCTAGAAACTAGCTCCAAGTACCATACGTGAAAAGTTCTTCAAGTGTGACACATCAAACAATGGCTTTATGGCAGTACTGCAACAGAATGGGCATCCCAAGCTTGGTGCTACGTTTTAGATCAAAGGTTTCTTCGGTTATGGTCTCCAAGAAAATATGTAGCATTGTGGCCAAATTGTCCCTATTTGAGTAAAATAACCCGAAAAGATATAGCAAGGGAGAAGTGCTCTTCAGTGAAATACTAAATTTGGAAGGAAGTGTAAAGTAGCTGCTAGCCTGCTAACTAGTAAGCAGCACAAATTAATAAGCTGCTACAGATCTAGAGCATAATGATTGGAAGCAATAAAAATTTCTATAAATGGTTATACTTAGAGAAAAGAATCCATATAGTACTACTATAACCAGACAATTTGTAACTCCACTCTGTGTAAAGACCATTATATTAAAGTATAAGAATGATAAAAGAATCCACTGGCATTAACCCTCTCACAAACCAAAAGCCGTGTGGAAGGCCAGCACGTGAAGGAGCAAACTTTTTAAATACAGAGCTAGCAGAAAGTCAAAAAGAACAAGAGGAGCAAAGAAAAATCTGGAAAAACCAAAGGCAAAGTTAACATGCACCACAATGACAACTAAGCATGCTACAACAACAACTAAGTATGTTGACAAATAATTCCTCTTAAATATGGCTAGCCAAGGAAAAAGACTAAAAGACTAGCAGACCAAGGATATTATAATCAAACCTTAAAAAAACGTTCCTAACCTTATTTATGTTGTTACAGTGATGTGAATTACAGCCATGTGTTGTAGAATAAGCCATAAGGCCTTGTTTGGAAACAACATTTTCAATTAGCGTTGACGTTTTGTATAATTTTTTAGTGATTTTTTAGTGTTGCAGATTAACTTTGAAAATGCTAAATCTAGATGTTGCAATTAGATAGATTTTTTTAAAACATTAAAGCTAAACGTTGAAGGTGTTGCCAAAGGGCCCTATTAATTCCTACATCCCAATGTTTTTGTCCGGGTTCTTTTTGGCACAAGAACCAAGGACAGAGAAGTAAGGGAGAGATATGTCCTAATTGCCCCTACTTTTAGGTGTCTATTGTTCCACGATTAAGTAAAAAAGAGGGTTGTCCATCTGTGAGGGAGGTCTCAGCGGCGGGGAATTCAACCGGTCCGTGCTGAGGAGAAATTCAGCCATTCCCAGTTAATCTGCAATTCAGCTTCATGATGACGAAATTTTACATAACCATCTATCAATTTGTCTACCTTTGGCGGATGAGATGTCACCCAAGGTTCAGCTGGGACGAACTCTGCCAAGATGAAGAGGAAGAACCGGCTGGGTCATACTCAGCCGCAATGAAGAGGTTTCACCCGAGGATCGGCGGAAGAGGTTTCACCAGATGACATGCTTGGCCGACCAAGAGTTGAAAAGAAAGAAAAAATTGAAGATGAAAGAGAGGTTGAAGAGGTTTCACCGGAGGTGGTTTCACTAGATGATTTGCTGCTGCGTATATTAAAGAAGAGAGAGAGTGAGTGAGTGAGAGAGGGTTGGAGATGGTGGGGGGTAAAATGTACAATTGAGACCTTTGAGTAATAGTAAAAAAGGAAAGTGGACAAAAATGCTAGGATGGAGCTACGGATGGTGTATTAGTCTTGGAAACTATTGTGGAAACAAAAAAGAAAAAAAATTGTATAGTACTACATGTATTTTTCATCTATTGCATTTGATGTTTATCTATGTGGCTTCCAACCTTCTAGTCTTCTACACGTAATTTCCCCTTTATATGTAATGTGGTTTCTGACCAAATGAAAACTAGGAGAAAAAGTCAAGTGATTTACTATGTATCCATTATTGCAGTCGCAGAGTATATCCTTACCGTCCTCTCTAACAATACCATCATGCCCATCAGAGGAATATGGATCAAGAGCGACGTCAGTGTAGATAAGCTGTTGAATGGCACATAAAATATTAAAGAATGTCATTTTCCAAGACAAAATGTAATTATGTGAGGAAATGGTTTCTTAGAAACAAATGCACCAAGTTATTTAACACACAAGATCAGGGAACTTGTCTTTAAGCACTCTAATAGACCGAGGGACTAATCCATTATCACTGTAGGCTTCATCGGCTGTCGAAGACTGAAAGGAAAAATTACCAGTTATATAATGTCAAGATTTCAACTCTAACATTCTGGAACAAAAAAAGCAGAGAAGAGCACCTTCAAAGCATCTGGAATTTTTGGGAAGAGCACTACACTGTTAACACCAACATCCCTAGCCTTTGAGATCTGTATCAAGAAAAGGCTTACTCTAACTAACCATACAATGCAATAGCACATTAAAATTTTTCTATCATCGAATACATATGACTGATATGCAACTGACACAACATCAGATTTGTCACCAAAAAGTCTATCCCACATCGGAAGTTGAATAGAAAAAGTAATCGGCATATAAGCTCTTGAGTTGAACTAAGTAATCGATTGGATTCAATCTTTTGATGTGGTTCAGCCCAAGTGTCTTATTACCCAATCCAGTTATCCTTGCCCCATCCTAAATTCTATCAATATTTATTGTTTTCTAGAACAGGCATCCATCACCATCATGCTCAACATCATGATCAACCAAATTTGTTGGGGTTGGTGGCATGAAACTTATAGCTACAATTAAATGTCTAATATTCTAAGTAGTTAACACTATAAATATGCATTCTAATGCAGACGAAAGTGTAATTAGGGGGAGTAACTGGAAAATATATTACCATTCATGAATAAAAAAAATATGAGAACAACAATCAGACAATACGCACCTCTAGAGTCTAGATAGGTACAAACTTAAAATTAAAACCATTACTGCCATTTCTTATACTGCGACCAGATAAGGGAGTCAATCTTGAAGTGTTGACAAGATAATTAATGCACATCTAGACAGTTTTTACACCTAGGTCTTTAATTTACTTGTTGAAAACCAATTTTTCCCTAGATTCATGTTATTGAGTTATTTGCTTTTTAGTTTTGAATCTCTTCATGAATGCAATGATATTTTCATTTATTATGCTTATTTTCAAAAAGATAAGCTAAGCTAAATCATTTAGGGGTTCGGATATAGATAATGTATGGTTCATGTGTGTTCTAGAGAGTTGAATCAGAATTAGGTATTTTTACCCAACTGTTAGGATTCGTTGATTGAAATTTAGATGAAATTGAATGATTAATTTGTGAAATAGTGAAATACTATCCACTTGTGAATTCTTGGAAAGTCAACTCCCATCCTGTCAATGAGATGAGGGTTAGTTTCAGTGGCGGATGGAATGCTTTATCAAGTGCCCCCAATCAATTTTTCATTTAATACCCCTAAATTGCCCTAGAAATTAAAACTGTCCCCAATAAAAACATTCTTTGCTCCCAATAAAAATAAATTTTCAATTGGAAAAAATGAAATATTTAGCATTAAAAAAATAGAACTCAAAAGTAAAATATTTTAAATTACAAGAATAGAATTTGAAAGTAAAAATTACAAGAGAAAGTAAAACTTATCGGAATTAATATCTTGTTATAGAGAACTCATAAATCACTTTTCAAGTCTGAAACATGTTTGTTGTTTATCAACCTAAGTTCAACTTATCACATCATTAATGCTTTAAGTTCAATTATGCTTTTCATTTTTGTTTAAACCTAAGCAAAATACCAAGGGAAACAGCCTCTCTACTTTCAATGCTTTATGCTCAATTATGATTTTATTTCTTATATCTGTGTTGCTTGAGCTAGGGTGTCTTGGAAACAGCCTCTCTACTTTTAGCAGGGGAAAGGTCTGCGTACACACCTCCCCAAACCAGCTTTTGTGGGATTCTACTGGGTTGTTATCGTTGTTACACACTTTTTTGGAAGATTTCCAAGCACATGCAGAGGCTTTAAAGAGATAATCCTAACCTGAAGACCCTAATAAAGAGCAGTTATAATATGAGTTTGTCCTTGGGGTGTAATAGTATATGGACTCGGATATAGGGCATCACATCTTTTGCTTAACACTTTTATAGTACTCACGGCAGCTTATCATCCACTATGGCATCTTATCGTCCTACTACATCTTCTAATGAAATTCATTTATAAGATTAATAACTATTTAAGCATAAGTCTTAACAAGTATTAAAAAATATGCATTCGCAAGAGTGTGTGAGGGTCTCAATGATAATTCAAGATGTTTCAAATCAAGCAGAACAAAGACGAGTACATGGAATGTTGCTTCAATGGTAGGATGGACCAAATGGAAGTGGAGGTTAGGATTAATTCGCATTTTCACGTGCTGTGTTGAAGAGAGACAAGTTTAGGTAACTTGGTTTGATCATTGAGGGAGATGGGGAGATTGATGGGAATGTAGTTCATTGTATTGGGGGCCGCTTAGGCAAAGTGGATGTTGGCTTCAGTGTACTTTGTGACAAGAAGATTTTGACAAAAATGAAAGGGAAGTTTTATAGGGCAATGGTTAGACTCACTATCTTGTATGATGTTGAGTGTTGGGCAGTAAAGAAAACCCATGTTTGTCAGTTTTAACTTTTAAGTGGCAAAGAAGAGGGTGCTAACGTAGATGTGTGGTCATATGAGGATGGATACAATTTGGAGCGAGGACTATTCAAGGATGGAAGTGGTTCTTATGGAGCATAGCTAAACTGGGTTTGGACACATAGGAGAAGAAGTGCAGAGGACCTAGTGAGAAGATGCGATGAGGACTGTGGCAGGGAATGCGAGAAAGAGTAGATGTAGACATATGAAGGTTGATTTCACATGACATGCGACTTCAGGATTTTACCCAGGATATGATCTTCAATAGAAACATTTGGAGATCTAGGATAAGAGTACCTGGGTAGACCTTTGTGTTTGTTCCAACTTCGGAAACATCATCTAATTCCCCAAAAAGGATCAAAGTACATCCTCTAGTAGTTTTCGCGAGACTAACATAGTGATGTGAATCCATATTTGATTCGTGACATAAGCTCAGAGATAGACCCCGGGGAAGATCAAGACTGTGGCATAAGATATCCGAAGAGGTTCGCTGGACGCGAAGCGGTCGACCGTTTGAAGACCCCTGAAGCAGACAGAACCAGATTGAGCCACGGTCGACCGTGGATACCAAGCAGTCGACCGTCACGGTACCCAACAGCAGATTCGGAATACTGGACAGTTGGCGGTCCATCCACTGGACCGTTCCTGGGCAGTTAGGGTTCCGGAAATTGCCCGTTAATTTCCTACTTTGGCTTGATTTTAATTATGTCTTTTCCAAATAAATTTAAATATTTTCAAGGTATTAGGTTGATTGATTTCCAAGATCAAGGTGGGTGGAAGAAGCCTAAGAAGATTATCTTTGAAGATATTATCAAGATAATTACTATTGTCATTACATGGTAATTATGGAGACAAGATTAGGTTAAAAGGACTAATCTTTCTTGGCTTGACATGGAGGTTAGGAGGCATAACCAAGGAAGATCAATCAAGGTTATTTCCTAGAAATTGCTTTGATATTTCCTAAAGTGTAATTTTTGTATTTTAATTTATTTTAATTAAGTTTGTAGTTTAGTTAATCACATTGCCTATAAATAGGCTTTGTATTTCCATTTGTAAACAATGATGAATTTGAATGTAATTTGAGTGTGTTTTGTAATCCTGTGTGGGTCAAGAAATTCTTGAGAGCTTTGACAACATGCAAGTTGTAAAACTACACCTTTAATGTTGTCACGGCGTGTCTCATGGAGGTGCAAAAGTTATAGACTTGTGAGTCTCTAAATCACCTTATCCCTACGGCCTACGCCTGTTCATATGGAAGAATCCCGATAAAAATGAACAACCCACCTTCTGCCAGGTTTGAGCGCATCACATAGTCCTTATTTAATTGGAGAACCAGTAAAGACATCGGGTACGAAAAAGGTTAGGATAAGAAACGCTCAATTTTTTGCACTCTTGGTAAACTTAAACGATCTTCATCAAATAATTCATACAGTCCAAGGATAAGTATAATGTCCTGCAGTTCTTTATAACACTAGTGCATCACCCGCGCGATGCACGGGAAGAAAATTATTAATATTATTAAGAGATAACAAATATATAAATATGTATAAGATTTAATAATAGCATAATATTTGTTTAGGACAAAAAACTATAATTAAGGATGTATGATGCAGTAAACAAATAGCTTTTTATTAAATTTTGTATTTATAAATATATAACTCTTGAAAAAATAACATAAACGTAGTTAAAATAATATATCGACTATGAAATCACAAAATAAGAGTTTTGTTTAGTTTAAAATAAAAATCAATAAAAGTCTCGAAATTATGTGCAAGACAGATATGATAGGAAATCATTTCATAAATAGTGTTCTGAATGGGATAATGATCTGACACTAATTGATTTCAAATCGGTCACATATGTTTTACAAAATTATATGTTCAATGAATTGAATTAACGGGAATGCCTACAACCATATCAATTATTTAAAAAAATAAAGACTCATCCTGGATTGTCAAATTAAAATAACGGGACTCGCCAACATTATTTAGTGACTGGTCTTGACTCTTGTTGATTTTCATATTTGTATACACACATACTTGTAAATGCAGATTAAAAATAGGTCTGTCTAAAAAAAATTACTGTCAAAAAATTTGTAGTGTCTAAATTTTTTTATTGCCTAAAAATTTTTGGTCCTTGAATTACTGTCTAAACTACCCTTCCCTTATGTCAATCTTATCTCCTTGCCCATTCACTCCCACCATCCATTATCTCACTTCCACTACTTTTTTTACGCATCCTTCTCCTTCAATCATGGCCTTCCTCTATCTCTCTTCACACTCATCATCTTCTCCTTCACAATTCTCCCCTTTTCTCACCTGATTATATTTTTTGGATTCCAACCAGGTATGTTTCTCCAATTTTGATTTTGTCCTTTTTAGATTTCAGATTCATCAAGGTGTGTTTCGTCCTCCGTACAGGAATGTTTTTTGAGTATTCCTTTATTTTATTTTTTGATCTTATGTTCATTTAAGATATAGGGTTTTCTTGTTATTTAGATTTTGTTTTGATGGTTTAATCAACAATTATTTTTTCTATTTTCGTATGTTTATTTGTGGCCTTCTTAAATTTTCAGATCTTGAAAAGTTTTGGGTCTTGTGTTCATGTTAGACTTGAAGATCTACGGAATGGGTGATGAAATTTCAGATCTTGATTGACGTACTTCTGTTGCCAATGTTGTTCATGGATGTTCCATTGTTTGTATGGTGTATATTTGATGTGCATATGAGAGAGGGGGTGAGGAGCGGGTGAAAGGGCATTTTTGTCAAGAAGTGATTGTATGTGTGCTCCTGGATTGAGATAGATTCAATGTGTAGCTGCCATGTGTACCAAAGTATTATTAGCCATTGGATCAACAATTCTGGCGGGAAAATAGAGCAATGAAATTGGAATGATTTTCCCATCAGCTTTTATATATATAGTAGATTGTAAAGTCTGCATTACTCTTTGCATAGTTTTATAATGTTGCTCGTAAGCTTGTTAATCTGTAGTGTGTGCATGTCTGCTTTCCATGCTTTGAAGTTTGAATCATGTTGCTAGTATCGAGTGTGTGTTTTGTGCATGTGTTTTTTTCTTAGTTCATTCTAATGTGTTTCCTTTGTCAGTAATATTATGCTTGTGTCGAGGATCTCTTGGAAACAACCTCCATACTACCAGCTTTTGCATACACACACCCTCATCATACTCTACTCCTGTGGGATTCTACTATGCTTGATTGAGATGTGTGAAAAAATAAACAAAGAAATGCAAGATCTCGTTGTTTATGTTATTTGCGAATTCTATCTTTTTAGTGGATGGAAGTGCAACAACCCCAATACGATCCCAACTCAGTTTAAGGGGTGTGAAAATGTACGCAACCATATTCTGTTAAAACAGAGAAGATAAAGCATAGAATCCATTTTTGTAAAGACCCTTGATAAATTGCTGCATTTGCTGCTTAAAACTTCTTTACAAAGTACAAAGAGAAGGAAGTTTTATGTGTCATTTTGATATAGTCCATTATTTACCCAAAACTAAAACATTGTCTAAAATGATTTTAGTGCAACATTACCTTTTTGGTAATTAAATAAGAATTTAATGAAATAAGTCCATTGCTAGTTTTTTTTAATGTGACCTTGCCCTTTTCTTATACTGGATGATATCATACAATAGTTGATTTCCATGCCTTCTAATGTAATTCAACAATACCTTTCTAGTTTGATCATGAAGGTAAAGATATAAACTAGTATGATGTTGCATGGTGGATGGCAGTTGAAAATATGGACTGTAATACCAAGTTGCCTTGGCAAGACAACAAACTTACCTCTTGAACAAGTCCACGCTTCCACCCAAGCCTAAAGCATCCAGGCATGGCCCCAATAGGCATATCTTCTTCACCTATGGATTGCGTAATACAACATCAAATACAAAGCATACACACACACTTGCACACTTATCATAACATTGTAGGAACAAACATGACAGATTCTACACACAGGTCACTCACCCTCGTGAACGAAAAGAGGATACACAAAATTCGCCGGGCTCAAAGTTGTTTCTTGGAAAGCAGACCTCATTGCAGCTGACTTACGATTGCGGCGCGGGCGCCTACTTAGTGGCTGTTACATGCAAGATCAAAAACATGAATAGACAAGCAACTTTACTGCAATGTGTACCTTATTAATTCCAACTTCAATCAAAATTCTTCAACAAGCAAAATAAGGCAATATGTGAATCCATAAGCACACTAAATACTGCACCAAAAAAGAATCATGTGGACCCAATAAAATGAAGTATATAAGTTTTATTAGGTAACTTCCCCGTTTTTATTAAGTTCAGTTTACAATCATCACAAACCTATAGACTTTTTTATTTTTCTTTCATACCATTCCTTCAACTTCTGAGAAGGAAGTTTAATTCTCCCAAACAAACTACAAAAGAAATCCTTTCAAAAAAAATACAAAAGAAATGATGAGTGCATTACTTAGGTGGTTCTGTGGTTCCCTTGAGACCCAGAATATATAATGTTGGATAAGATGTCACATTTGCAGCTCAATTGGTCAACGTTGTAAACGCAACAACTACTTACATAAGCTCTAGTCAAGCATATTCCAAGAACAAACTTAGTGAAATTGATATTAGAAGTAGGTTTATTTGGAATTCAGCAAAATAGGTCCAACTAGCTGCTTGATGACAGACTTCCGACCTTCAGGGCAATTGAGACCAGATATTTACTTTGATCTAAAACTTGACACTGAAATCTAATTCCAAAGTATACCAGTATACCACCCTTTCTTTCTTCAATTGGACTAATTTATATATCCCTACATTCAAAATTCATACAAATGGACCCTCAAGTTCTTTACAGAACCTAGGTTGGGATGAAAGAGTAAGAGTAAATAAAAGGGAGAGATGGAGATTAAGACTATACAACATCGAACCAATATAATCCCAAACCTATTGGGTCTGGGATCAAGATTCAAGACGTATGCAGCCTTAACTTTATATATAAAAAACAACTTAACTCTGAAAAGCAGAGACTGTTTCCGTCAGACCCTTGATGCCCTCGATGCATTTACTGCCCAAAATTTCAGAGAAAGTAAAAAAAGGAAGAGAAGTTTAAGATGCCAATCCGATCGAGTCCTTCATTTACCCAAAGCTAAGACAATGTAAGAAAATGGCTCTTTTAGTTTCTTTGTTAATGGAAAGAACAATTATACTCTTCCTTTATAAAATGGATAGTGCATTAGTAATATTAAAAAAACAAAACCTAAACACTCGTTACACCCCAAATTGGGGTGTTAAAAAACGAGGATGAAGGAGGGAAGGAAGAGTAACTCTCACTCCTCAATCATCATTACTCTTATAAATACCTACACTTAATTGTAAGTGAGAGCACCTCCCCTTACTAACCCTATCTTTGTCAGTTCAAGGAATTTGAAAGGGAGAAGGGAAGAAAAAAACTGATAGGGAAAACCATTTTTGGTGTTTGGCTAAAGAGGAAAAAGAAAAGTGGAAGGAAAAGAAAATGGAGAATGAAAACGAACTAAGAAGTTGGAAAAACATTCTCATTTTATTTTGGAGAGCAAAAGAGGAGAAACTTTTTTTCTTCTACTTCCAAATTCCACATAGGAGTAAATCTCATCCAAAGAGACCCTAATACTAGCAATTTAGCACAGACACAGCTCTCTAATTCAATAAGGTTTATGAAATGGGATGGCACTTACGAGGGAAGAAACTACAGGGGTACCAGCAGGAGAGGCCGGCTTAGGCGGCACTGGAGGTGCTTCCGGCGTGTTTCCGGCTACTACGGCAGCCTCGCACTCAGCACAAGTCCTGCCCATCTTTTTCAACAGTCCGGAGCTTCCAGGCCCGTTATTATCCCGGCTCGACTTGGTCAGCATCAACCGCCGGGGCGGTTTGGAACAAATTGAAGGCCGCACAACAGGGGCAAACTTCACAAACGGCTCCGGTTTGAGATTAAATTGCAGAGCCCCAACGGTGCTGGAAGAACAATTTGACCACGCAACGGGAGACATTGAGAATCGCAAGAGTGGAGTCGCTAGTGCGCCTTCAGTCGTCGTAGCTGAGCTGAGGATGAGATGTGTGGACTGATAGATGTTAAGAGGATGGATGGATGGATGGCTTTTCACGACTGAGCAATGCTAGGGGTATGTACCCAAAGAATTTATGGAAAAGGCAGAAAGAAAAAGGTTGGAATTCATGAGAAGATCTAATAGAGATTCGCGTGAGGCGCGTCCGCTCTACTTGCGTAAAATGAGGGGAAATGATAGAAAGGTCTTTCCAACTAAGAAACAAAACGTCACTGTTTATTACCATTACTTCAAAAATTAAACGGAAATATTAAAATTAACGACCAGTCGTTAGGTTGCCTTCGAAGCGTCACGATGATTTTTAGAAAGGCCAAACGACGTCGTTTGAAGCGCCAACCCCTCCTTAATCCCCCGACCAGTCTTCGGAAACGATACGCCTTCATCAATCGAAACTCTTCTGCTCTTCGTTCTACATTGCTTACCGTCGTCAGATACCTTCAAGAACTACCACACATCTCTTTGCCATGGAGAACACCGGAGCAAGTAGCGGGTTTCAGTACAAGAGAAGAAGAATTCTAACCCAAACACAAAGGGAGGAGATGGAGAATGAAAACCAGGTATTTTCAAATAATTCTTACTTAAAATTAACTAATTTTTGTTTTATTTTGAAATATTTGGGATTGGTGTCAGATTTCTGCTGAGGTAACTCCATCTGTGGAGGGTCAATCGTTCCTGGATGCTTCGAAAATTGAGGTGCATTGCATGTACACTAAAATATAACATTTAAATTTTATTTTGTTTGTTTTTTTGAAACATTCGGAAATAGAACAAGTTATTCGACCATGGAAATAGTCAATATAATGTTACAGTAATTGGTTACAGTCGAATGCAGTCGAATCTATTTTTTGATTAGTTCTTGATTTTAATTCTAGGTTCCAGCGTTGGATTGCACCATTGATATTGATAAAATACCTGGAATGAAGTTAACCCTGAAATCTTCTTTGGGGGAGTTCCAGAATCTGATGCACGAAGAACTTGGAGATCATCCAGAAGTCCTTGATTTGTTTAGGGAGAACACCCCTTTTTCTCATTTTTTGGATGTTGAGTGTATTCCTCCTCCTCTATTCCTATGGCAACTCATTGCGAGGGAAGACAAAATAAAGAGGAAAAGAGAGATGTGGTTCGTTTTCAAAGGAGTTCCTGTCAGGTACTCCTTAAGGGAGTTTTCACTCATTAGCGGCCTCAACTGCTCTCATCTTAACGCCGGCTTTGAAAATTCTAAGGAATTAACCTCTGCAAAGAATGATTTCATTCGAGCTCACTTTCCTTCTGCAAAGAAGGGAAAGAAATCTGCTGCAGTCACATACAAGATGGTTGTGCAGCGTTTCTTGGAAATTTGTAAAGGATTGGACAGGGAAAAGAAGAAAGAAGGCCATGAGATGGATGCTGTGAAAATGGCAGCACTTTTGTTTGTTGTTGTTCTCTTGGGTCCTGCTGATCGAGACAAGTCTGCAATTCCAGATTGGATTCTGGGCATGATTGCACAGTGGACAACAGTTCTAGGTTTCCCATGGGGAACCTAGGCATTTATGGAGTCCTTGCGGTCACTGAGGAAAGACCTAGCTGCTAAGGCCAAATCAATTGGAAGAGGGGCCTCATCAACCATGTACTATACTGGTTTCTTGCTTCCCATTGGGGTAAGGATTTTTTCAATTATAATATTTCTTATAATTTTTATTGAAATATGATCTCATTGAAACTTTCAATATGAAAAGATCCTTTTTCTGGAGAGTTGCTTGGGGACTGGAGCAAATATTACAACAAGAAGCCCACAGACATCCCCAGCTAGGCCAAGAATCTGCCTTTGGGGTGAGATTCCAATAAAGAAGAAAATCACCCACACAGAAATGGATGCTTACGTTGGGGACGTGCAGGTATATACATATTATACCTCAATAAAAGATTAAAAATTAAATGAATTCCAAAAATAAAGTGTCATTATTTTGGTTGCAAACTCTAAAGAGCATTCTTGTTCCCGATAAGTTTGAGGCAACTGCAGAGTGGTATTTGAACTTCCATCCTCTAGAGACCACAAAACACCCCGAGTTGGATGCATTTGTGGTAAAATTAGAGTGTAGAGGGGAAGTCCACATTCCGGTGGAAAGGAAGAGAAAACCCCGGAATGTCCCTTCACCAACAAGAGATAATTCTGAAGAGCGTAATGAGCACATCTCCTCTCCCCAAGAATCTCAGAGGAGTCAGAGCCTTAGGGAATCTCCTTCTAGAGTCTCCCATTCCAACATCCCAAATCCATCGTCTCCTACCCCTCACCCCGCCAAGCCTTCATCCAATTCCTTTCAAGAACTCTTTGATCGAATGTCAAAGAAAATTGATAACATTGCAGAAGAACAAAGAAAGAGGTTTGAAGTGCTTGAAAAAAAAGTTGATTCTTTGTCAACTTTAATAAATCAAAAGATTGTGAATAAGGTATGATGAAAGCTTTTGAAAGTCATCCAATAATTTTAAGTGATCAGAACTGATCTATTCTTATGTAAAAATATGAAGGTGAATGTAACTGAATCAGGAGAAGAACCAACCAAGAATCCGCAGGAGGTACGTCGAATACCGTCGAATACATACGAAGCAATCGAATGTATACGAAATGTTCGAATACCTCGAATGCAGTCGAAACGTTTTGTTCAGTTTTAAATTTGTAAGATCTGTTAACGTTCAAGTGCTAGAGACGACAATCATGGGTGATTGTGAGGAGACTGAGGCACACAATCCTTCCCCTGATCATAAGGTTTAGGGTTTAATAGAGTTATTTCATTTTGTTTACATATGTTAAATGAAATAATAATATCATTTCATGCTTCTTTCTCATCATTTTCATACTTCATACTCTATAGGTTTCTCCAAGACTTGGTATTCTCCAAATTGTTTGGGAAATAAAACAAGAGCACGAGAATCAACCTTCAACTCTTTTTGATTCTGTTCTTAGTTTGGAGAACAGAAAGGTAAAGTTCTAATCTAACTTACAATGCATTATCCTTTCGAAAATAGATTCATATTTTTGTTCTTGTCTACAAGCTGAGTCTACCCACGAGACAATGGGAACAGAAGATGCTACCTCAATGAAGCCTCTGCAGGAAATGGTAAAATAATAAATCTTACTACAAGTGCCTTCGAAATAGAGTCGAAGATTTCAAATGTATTCGAATTATCTGTAGGTTGAGCCTAGCCATGAGGTAATGGAAACAGACGCTGCTACTTCTATGAAACCTCTACAGGCTGAGTCTACCCACGAGACAATGGGAACAGAAGATGCTGCCTCAATGAAGCCTCTGCAGGAAATGGTAAAATAATAAATCTTACTACAAGTGCCTTCGAAATAGAGTCGAAGTTTTCAAATGTATTCGAATTATCTGTAGGTTGAGCCTAGCCATGAGGTAATGGAAACAGACGCTGCTGCTTCTATGAAACCTCTGCAGGCTGAGTCTACCCACGAGACAATGGGAACAGAAGATGCTGCCTCAATGAAGCCTCTACAGGAAATGGTAAAATAATAAATCTTACTACAAGTGCCTTCGAAATAGAGTCGAAGTTTTCAAATGTATTCGAATTATCTGTAGGTTGAGCCTAGCCATGAGGTCATGGAAACAGACGATGCTGCTTCTATGAAAACTCTGCAGGACAAGGTAAATTCTGGATGCTTTGCATTCGAAATGCAGTCAATATCTTCGAAGTATTTACAACATGTTTATTTACACTCTATTTAACTGTAGGTTGTTTCTCCCCCGAAGGAATTGGGAGACGAGGCTGAAATTACTGATGCCATTGTGTGTGGAAAGGTTTGGTTTCTTACTTCAAGTGCTTTCGAATTGGGGTCGAAGATTCCGAAATAACTCACTTTTTTTTAGAGAGTGAAAAAGAAGTCAGCCAGTTTGAAGTCTCCTTATACAGCGGACGGGAGGAAGAAAAAGAAAGCCGATGAGCTCTTATCTAAGCCGCCAACTAAAGTAGATCTTTTGGAATTTAAGAACTTCATCGTAAAAGCAATTAAAGAGGACCGCCCTGTACAATGCTACCTCGCGCAGTACAAGGAGATTCAGGGATTTGTGAAAACATGGTGGACTAACCTTATCACTCCAGGTCTTTGGGTAGCGGATACTGTAAGTTGCATTAACCTTTCATTCTTCGTACACAAACAATGCTTATATCTTTCGTTTTCTAATAACATACTACTTTTGTTTGTTAACTAGCATCTGAGTGAGTACCTTTACGTCCTGAGAAGACGTTTATGCAATGACGATGGAGACTCATGCATTGCGCCTTTTGAATTCTTCAATTACATGAACTCTTATGCGCATGACCCACAATGGCCTGTTTTGTCTGGACCCCTTGAAAAGATTGTGGATGGTACATACAGCGAGGGGCCGGAAGCATTTAAAACCAAAGCCTAGAAAAAGAACACTAAGTACGTATATTATTTGAAAGGCACGGGTTCACATTGGTTCTGTATCAAGGCTGACTTTGAGAGGTGCCGCCTCGTCGTGCATGACTCCCTTAAATGGATAACTTCGAATGAGAAGATGGAAAGTTTGCTGATAGATGAACTTAGAGGGTTTAAAGGCATTGCTGGAATTAGAGAAATCGGCAAGCACGGATATGCCGATTGGGAAATCGAATACTGCTGCCCAGTACCCCAATAGATTGATTGTGACTGCGGCATCTTCACGGTAAAAATGTTAGAGTTGGGAGCACAACATCAGAATTTTAAATCTTTGGAGAAGATGACAAAAGAAAAGATGGCCAACATGCGTTTAGAAATTGCTTACTACATATGCAAGGAGTACCATTGTAGAAACAAAAAATAAATTTTGTGGTGGATAAATATATTATTAATAAAGTTGTGGTGGATGCATATGATTTCATGGAATAGCATATATTATTAACAGTATTATTAATTATGTGGTGGATACATATGATTGCATGGAATTGCATAGAGTTGCATGTAAACACGAGTAACTAATATTACGGGATTACATTCTAAAACTTGTTCACATAAAATTACATAAAAATCAATAATTCCATGAAATTAGCTCGGATCGATCTTTGAGTAATTTCTTTTTGATCTCTTCAATATTTCGGTCTCTACACAAGGTGCTGCTCATGCATTCCCCTAGATCTGGAGATTGGGTTTGGCTTGCATTTGTAATGTCCGTTTGTTCGATCAGACAACATCATGCCTCTAAACTAGCACGCATGCACGTTTCGTCATCATGTGCTGCAGCCGAGGGATTCATTATCTGATCGAAAAAACCATTACGACCTTATTATCTGATCGAAAAAAACCATTAGGACAGTTAGAGAAAAACAACGTACTTGAAATATCCATTTCTATCAATCAATGAAAGAAAGGTAAGAAATTCTGATGTGGGTAAAGAAACAGGATTGTAAGATATGGAATACATTGATGAACAATACTAACAGAGAAGAATATAGGAGGGATATATGAATTTAAAAAGGAGGGGTAAGTGGAGTACTTATAAAGGTGATTGAATATGAGTGCAATTCGAACTGAATTTAAGAGATGTAATTTCGTTCATTAATAATAATTAATAATAATGATGATGATGATAATGATAATAATAGAGAGGGCCATTGAGATAAATCCACAATGAATAACTTCGACTGTCCCGACTAATATTTGAATGCATTTCGAATGGACTTTACACAGTAATTAGTTAAAAATTAAAATGGAAGAAGATATGTGTGAGCGGTTGCATTCAATTCGGGTAGATAAAGAGCGGTCAAATCAGCTTTTATTACTCTCGTTAATTTCAAAGAGCTCAGGAAGTTAAATGAGATGTAATTTCGTTCATTAATAATGATGATGATGATGATGATGATGATGATGATAATGATAATGATAATGATAATAATAGAGAGGGCCGTTGAGATAAATCCAAAATGAATAACTTCGACTGTCCCGACTAATATTTGAATGCATTTCGAATGGACTTTACACAGTAATTAGTTAAAAATTAAAATGGAAGAAGATATGTGTGAGCTGTTGCATTCAATTCGGGTAGATACAGAGCGGTCAAATCAGCTTTTATTACTCTCGTTAATTTCTAAGAGCTCAGGAAGTTAAATGAGATGTAATTTCGTTCATTAAAAATAATGATGATGATGATGATGATGATAATGATAATGATAATAATAGAGAGGGCCGTTGAGATAAATCCAAAATGAATAACTTTGACTGTCCTGACTAATATTTGAATGCATTTCGAATGGACTTTACACAGTAATTAGTTAAAAATTAAAATGGAAGAAGATATGTGTGAGCGGTTGCATTCAATTCGGGTAGATAAAGAGCGGTCAAATCAGCTTTTATTACTCTCGTT